GAGTCCTTCCCCAGCAGTGGATTTTCGGAGGGATCTGCCGGGAAACTAAATAGGTGTTCATACCGAAAACTTTGTGGATCGAACGACTGGAGCTCACACACAAACCATCGAGTCTCTTTGGCACGTCTACAAGATGCAAAATAAACGCTAATGCGGCACACATATCGATCTTTAGTGGACAGCTATTGTCTGAGTTCGTTTGGAGGCAAAGGTACCGAAAAACGGACCTTTTCGAGCAAATTATTGATAACATGTCCCACTTTCACCCTCTTCAATAAAAACTATAAGTACAAATTTCATACCCTCCTGTTTCTAATCTTTTTTGGGTGGCGAGGGTTAACTTTTTGGTTGGGCTTATCTGGAAAAGATCCCATTTCCCGGGTGCTGTCAATAACTGCATTTCAGTCGTGCAAAACTGTACAAAAATGGCCCCGCCTCCAGTGATTATTTGCGTCTAATTAACTCTAATTCATGTCATCCTTTCATTCGGAAGCATTTGGCTTTGCCAACTGAGCTTTGATCAAACTGACAGTTTGGTGGATATAAACCGAATCAGCCCGGCGAAAATAGACTGTCCTTTTGTCCTGGACGAGCCCAGTCTTTACTTGTTGTCGCAGCATCATGTTCGAAAATACCTCTGTTCACTGTCATCTAGCACGCACAAACGATCCACCAGTCGATTCGACCAATGTCATGACTTTACTGGTCCACTTGGCCTTTGTCCAACGATACATTTGCGTAAGATTAATCGAGTTGGACGTTTCTGTATGGGATGTTTGTAGAGCGAATGTCTCGGGCATATGCCTTATTGATGATTTCTAGGCAACCGCGTATGCGATTCGTTGCAGGTTGTAACAATCTGATGTGCTTTCAGCGCCATGATATGTTGTATCCCGTCTTCAGTTTGCCAACCACTTTGTATATCAGTTTGAGCAGGCATCGTACAAAATTCCCCTTCAGAGATGCACAGTCCTTTGGGCATTCGCGGGGCAAATTCGCCAGGCGATTTTTCCGACCGCGGATGCATTGCTGTGCCCAGTCACATCGAGCGATCTCGGGTCTCCACTCACATTTTTTTTATGTTCAACAGTATGACGGGTCAAATCATTTTGGAAAACATGTAAACTTAGCGGCAGGTAACTTTTGCTCTGGAAATACATGCCGGGGAAAAGGCAGAGGAACGAATTAATCGTCTTACTCGCTTCGAGTACTGGAACAAATTAACAGTGTTCAAAACCCAGACCGGCATCAAGGTGTGGAAAGTAAATGTCAACATGTATTGAAAAAAATCAGCGTTGTAAAATACAGTACACCAAATGAATACAGTTTACTGAGTGGACCTTGCACGCCACCAGAATATTCCTCACACGGATTGGCCAGTTATCACGTCAGGCCTGATTTAAATAACCTGAGTAACGTGTAGTCCCATAGCTGAACAAGCAGGCTTTAAAACAGTTTTTTTCAGAATGGTATTTTATAACTCACATGAATCGATCGTTAGGGTAAAATCTACTCGCTGTTTCATTGTCTGCTATACACGTGTTATTCAAAATTGCTATAATAAGGCTCTTTTTGTTGTTTTCTTTGAACACAAATGACAAAAACGTTACAATCTATGAAGTACGATGCCACATCTATGCCCGTGGAAAAACATGTGACCAAGCAATTCTGACAACTGCCTATTCAAATTACACTGAGTCATCTTCCATTTCAAGGTCACTTGTTAGGATGCAGAATCGATCGATTCGGACAGCTTGAACGAAAATCGATCTTCACAGCGCACTGACCACGTCTCCTCGAATGGGAAGACAGAAGACACAAATAGATTGTAATGGTCAGTAATTAGGGACAGAGAAACTCATCCAAATCTGAGACCGCGTAGTCCTCGACGTGCTTGTAAAGCCCAGCGACAATACGCCAAATTTTATGAGCAAAGGGTTACTTCATTCGTCACAAGTCACCGGCTACACAGACTTTCTCTTATCACAGCTTCACTCCCACTTTGAACCATGTTGTTACTAAACAGTGCTATTTTCTGTTAGATTTTGTGCGATTTCAGCGTCCTAGTTAACAACTTACAGTGTATAACAAACATAGGGAGCGTATTAGGCGTGGACGCACTCGTCTGGCATCTGTTCGACAGACTTCATTTGTAACTACTACCTCAGAAGATAAATGCAAGCTAACATGAATGGCGCGACAGGTGCAAAACAGGGCGAAAGTTGACTGTTTTGGTCAAAGAAGGCATACATGTTGTGTGAGATCAAGATACGCGTCACGAGTGAACAAGAGCGAAAATTAGCGACGAAAATTAGCGAAGTAACGTTGCGATCAAGTCACATTTGGGCGCATAAAGCTGATCCGACCTGTGTAATCTACATGCTGCTGAAAAAACTTCGATCTGGTGGGTTCAGTTTTAGTCTAGTTTCTATCTTTGCCAAACACGGTGATTCCGAGAGCTAGATACGCATCAATTAGAACATAAGGTTAACAGAAACTCCGGGACTGTGCCAGCCTGAGGAGGCCTAATTAAAAGAGTAAAACCGTTCGTAGACTGTCGAACAACTTCCATCGGCTTTATGAATAGTTTTCTTCAAGTAGACACACATCTGTTTAGCTGCTAAAATGCATATGTGAAGATGTTTACATGGGAGTGGATCATTACCATTACAGCACTGAATTCGGTATATATCTGCGATATCGATTAGTACATCCGTTTGTGTCCTTTTGTTATCCATGTGACACGTACCGGGGCTGAAAACCGTGTTCAAAATAGTGCAATCTCACACATAATGCCTTATTCCGATATGATTGGTCCAGTTTTTCAATCAAACCACAGTCAAGATTGAAGATATCCCCGATCATCGTGCAAAGTCTGATGGGTACAAATCTAGCCCATCAGGTGGATAAAATGGAGAACTTACCACACATGTCCGTCTGTCCGACAGTCTTTTATGCCCAGGAGGACATATACATTCATACGACCCATGGGTGTTGATACAATCAAATTGACAACCGTGGACTGCCACAGACAGTTTGCATTCATCCTTATCCAGTTCACACCGTGGTCCCTCGAAGCCTGCTTTGCAAATGCAACGACCTTGAAAGCAATGACCACCGTTCTCACATCCTTCGGCACATGCCTCGCTTGGCCTGCAGGAACGTCCGTCCTCCGACAGCTGGTAACCCGGACGGCATACGCATCGAAAGGTGCCATCCTGTGAAATGGAGGGAGAAGTAATGAGTTCGGTCACCAGTTACTGAGTTGAGTTTCGATGGCATTTAGTCCAAATTGTACATTGTGTGCTAACACCAGTTTGATGATGCAGAAACTTCGTTCAAAAATACTCTTGATTTTCTAAACATTTTGACTCTCAGAACAACGAATGAGCGGTTAGTTGACGAGGAGTTTGTCGGACAGAAACCATTCCCGTGTCCATGAGTGATAACCGAAAGAAAACCGGATCGAATGCGACCGCGTCACATCTTCGACAATAATTTACAGTAAGGCAATTGCCCAATTGAATTACCTTTCGCTGGCTAGCTGCCTCACCACCCAAAAGAAGCATGACGGGTTTCGATGTCCTAAACAGGGCGCCTTTGAACCGATCACGGGTGGTGAGGTCTAGCCGACTGTCGATCGCAGAGAAGGCCATAACCCGACTGCGTCCAAAAGAAACTTGTGCGACCTCCGGTTCCACAAACCTGTCTGACATCACTTACTCAAACTGCTGACCCATTCACTGCCCTACCTCCCTACTTCTTTAGTGAGAATGTGGCCACGATTTCCACTTAACCTTTGCACGTGACTTCCGGTATCATCTATACCAGCGATTGATAAGCCAAGAGGACCTTCGTTTTCATCGCTTGAGTACTGCCCGACTTCCGCGTAGTTCATCTCTGATTATGCCTTGCTCCAAGAACAATCCACCTTTAGTTCTCCGACTTGAAACGACCGCAGAAAAATCTCGGTATTGGCCTAGAAAAGGTCCCGTGCGAGACCGATTTTTACTCAAAGTGCAGTCAAGAGGTTTTAAAAAGAACCAAACAGTTTTTAGCAGACCGGGAGATATTCAACCCTCGCTTTGATTCTATTGACGTGTACCAATTTTCCAAAGTCACTCCTAGTGTATTTTAGTGAGTAGTATGGTCCGCCGAGAAAGTATAGTGCAAAATTCCTAATTTCGTACCAACCGAAATTTGAGGCAGTATGCTCATAGTTGGAGAATATCAGTAACGAAGGTATCTTGTTTTCATCGTGTGATTTTCAGATGAGCGTATGCCTTTCTTTGCTTGCAACTTGGCTTTCAAAGTGGGCATAAAGCTTATAGAAATTCGGGAGCTTCATTTAGAGAATTAGCCAGCATTTTTGCACATTTTTTGCAAGTTCGGTGGATGGAACTGTATTCTGCCTGCGCATGACAGATACTATTTGAATTCATCCCGAGATATGATAAGGATATTAACAGGAAATCAGTTGATGGTTGGAACTTCCACCTGAGAGGCTGTTGCTCGGGGAGCCACGTGGTGTGGGATCTGTCACTGAAACATGAGTTATGCTATATCCCGTCGAAGTGTGAGCTAACCGCACTGCCGAACGGCCAGTAGGCCACAACTTCAAGATGCCAACTGGCCGGTTATAGACCATTGGACAGGGAAGCAAAACTCTCATGTGCATCTTGTTCACAAAAACTGGACATCCATCTTCTCCTGAACGCGTCTTCTTGAGCTTTCCTAAATATTCATTGACTTCAATCATTCATTGCTCAAATCCAAGCAAAAGCGACTCCACAAATTCTGCAACAGATCTCCTCTTTTCGAGAGACGCAAAGCGAATTTACAAGAACGAACCATGCTAGTCGCATGCCTCCCAATCAGTAGTATCACCGTTACACTAGTGCAAACTTGTCATCGGGCTAATCCTTTGGACTCGTTAGTTGGTCCTCTGAAGGTTGGTAACTCGTTTTCAATTCTTAGCGTCTCTTTCGGTTGGCTAGATGAAAGAAATATTAGTCAGAAAGATTTGTCCAGAAGAAATTCTCACTCCTGCAGGTGATCACCGATCCTACTCTACGGTACCACATTCCAAGGATGAATAGGCTTGTTCCAAAGTTTAGTAGCCTTGTCTTCCGACAAAATAACGTTTTTCTGGAAAGAACGGCTTACACGAGCACCGGACACTAGTGGGGAACAGAAAATTTATCGTCTCGAACATTGAGGAGGTGATGTCCCCTCTCGGTAGGCATGTAAATTCGGAAAGGGATCATCACTGCCCTTTCTGTGACATCCTGTGTTGCTAACTGCCAAACCTTCGATCTAGCCGTAGGCTCCACTTTAATTCTGCTCATCAGTTACTGTTAATTTCGTATAGAACCACAGTCTACCTTTCTATACTGTCTGCCCAAGTCTAATTTAATATATTGTTTCCTGGTCAATTGCGACTACTGAACAAACGCAGGTGAAGTTCGTAGAATTCGGTTCTGTCGTCCGTCTTGAATCAGACTACACGTTACCCGTCAGACAGGACAGGTAGATCGTGCGTTTAAGCTAATTAACCAATTCCTTGCTTTGAGATCACGGCCTCAGCATGGATCTTACGTTAAATATTCAACTGGTTGTCTCCGAAACAACTCTTCCGCATGAGTATGAATCGAAACCTGTTTGTCCTAGAACAATTCGACACCGAAGATGACTCAACAGACATCTTACGTTACTATTCAACTGGTTGTCTCCGAAACAACTCTTCCGCATGAGTATGAATCGAAACCTGTTTGTCCTAGAAAAATTCGACACCGAAGATGACTCAACAGACGCTCCACACATGAGTAATGGTCTGCATTGCAGACAACAGGCAGTGATAGTCAGCGACTTCGATGGAGATCACTGGCTCTGCTCTCAGTCAGTGGGCCCTCTGGCTTATTGTAGCCATTTGTCGCAGAAAGATTGGGACGTCCGCACATTAGTTTTGACTGATGCAACCATTCGAATCAATGATTTCACCAATAAATCAATATTCTGACTTTCAAACACCCTCATTTGTTCAGTCATCCAATTAGGAGGGAAATGTTACATAACCTGGACACCACTTTGGTCTGGGCGAATTTCCAGCCCTGGGAACATCCGCTCTCCGAACCAGAACATGCGTGCACGCATGCATGATGTAAAGGTCGCGAAGTTCCAAGAGTGAGTCATCAGCATCGTTTACACCGGTGGAACATGAGGCAGTTCGCGGCCAACATGACGAGTGACCTGAAAACAACAGCTGTGTGCCGTCACCGTAGCAACTTTGGAGGCGTCCGTCCGATTTGAAATTCAATCATTCTAATTGCACGTTGACCTCACTGCATTGTCGGATTTATGGTTACATCGAATGGGCTGCCAACTAGATAGATCAGGCACAGTGGCGCTGTACGAACACTGCGAGAGATGTCAATTCACACACACACACACACAGACCAAGCTGCAAATCACACCAGACTTCTTTGGGGAACAGCAGAGGGATATAAAATGTAACTTATAAGGCTGCGAAAAACTCTCCGGCAAGCTACCGCTGAAAACTCCTCGACAGTCCACAGCAACTTGATAAGTATCGTTGCGTCAGGAAAATGTACCGCGACTTCTCGAATATCGCGCCTAATGAAACGTGAGGCGGTCTTTATAAAGCACGCTCAGTTAACTGGTAGCACAAACGGAAGTAATGGCTCAGGTTGAGACGAGTTTCCATTTAACATCAAGCCAAATCGAACGCGAATTCACTTCGTTAGAAGGTAGTAGAGGTGTCCCATCCTTCTAACAGATACACCGATTGGAATACTAGTTTGGTTTTTGCAGGATAGTCAACCGAACTTCTCGTTTAAGACATTCTTCCGAGCCTACAGGATGAGCCCCAACAAGTGCGAAATCGGCCGTGAGGCGTCGAAGAGTTTTCAGCAACCTTGTGAGTAGTTTCCTTCATGCAAATGTATTTCATCAGTAACGCACATGTGAGAGATTCAGGAATGACAGTAAATGAGTAATTTGCATGCTAAAAATGAAAACGCACCCCCAGTCACGTGGACCCTGTCAATGAAGAATTGTCACTTGTGTCTTAAGTGAAGGAAAAATCAACCTTGGGCAGGTATCTTATTCGTTCTATTAAGTTAAAAATCAATAAAGTCAGGTCAGTACTGTTGTATATATTTTTGGGATACTAACCAAGTTAAGAAACTTGTGAGAAAACGTACAACCATTCATAATTCATGTTCCGAGTGGCGCTCTAGTTCGAGTCCGATAGTCGCTAAAACTACCACACTTGAGTAGTGTTCAGCACTCGTTACCAACCTAGAAGTTATGTCCATTCAAACGTAGCTTGCGTCATCACCCCGACATATTTTGTTTCGAAGGCAACCAGGTTTCATCTAAATGCTTCCCTCATGAGGATGAATCAGAAGTGAGTGAAATCGCATTCTTGTGTGAGGCGTCACTTCGTGAAGATTATCCCATGGAGGGAACTACCGTATCCTCATGGAAAGAAACCTTAAAAGATTTCTAAATTCAACAGTCCGACACTGTCAACACGAAGAGTACAGGTTGGGGACGGGAAACTACTAATTAGCGCTGCCGGGAAACACTTACACCCAATTAACGAGTTGTCGCGCGCGCGATAATTTAAAACACGACGAAGGAAGAGAGTAAACCCCGCAGCAGGGGAAAACCAAACGGTGATTTGTGGTGCCAGATAGGACAAGATGGAATATTTCTGGCGCAAATGAGAAAGTACACTTCATCGATTGGTCAAATTTGTTTTTTGTTTATAATCTGTCATTATGCGATGATGACCGTGGCTCTTAGACCTGTCATTTGCGGTCACGATATATATCGATCATAATTAGTTTCCAAACAAAGCCACATATTTTGGAGATTCACATTTTCACTCACATAATTTGCCTCCTAAGATTCAGAAATGAACTTGCAGTTTAACGAGATGTTATGGTGAATTGGCATATAATACTGTCATGCTTGATCAGTAGTATACTTCGGACGTATATATATACTATATAGGCAACTGCAAAACCTGGTGTACATTCAGAAGAACCTTAAGGACACAGAAATTAACCCCAACACTATTTTTGGTATACAAAACTAAACAGTCAACGCACATTTGACTTATTGTTTACAAATGAAGCATTAAAACCACACATCAAGGATGCAGAAACATGAGTTGTCATCACTAAGCATA